ACGGACACAAGTCCACGGTCTAAAAGGACTAGTATGGACACAAGTCCACGGTCTAAAAGGACAAGAATGGACACAAGTTCTCTGTCTAACAGGACAAGTATGGACACAAGTCCACTGTCTAACAGGACAAGTACGGACACAAGTCCACGGTCTAAAAGGACTAGTATGGACACAAGTCCACGGTCTAAAAGGACAAGAATGGACACAAGTCCACTGTTTAACAGGACAAGAATGGACACAATTTCACTGTCTAACAGGACAAGAATGGACACAAGTCCACTGTCTAACAGGACCAGTATGGACACAAGTCCACTGTCTAACAGGACAAGAATGGACACAAGTCCACTGTCTAACAGGACAAGAATGGACACAAGTCCACTAACAGGACTAGTATGGACACAAGTCCACTGTCTAACGGGACACGAATGGACAAAAGTCCACTGTCTAAAAGGACCAGTATGGACACATGTCCACAGTCCAACAGGACCAGTATGGACACATGTCCACTGTCTAACAGGACAAGAATGGACCCTAATCCTAACCAAGTCAGGTAAGGTTTTACCTGCTTTCAGCATCTTATTCCTGAGGGTAAGTGAATAGATTCCATTTCCACAAATAACCCAAGATAAAAGTTTTATTAGTTAGCCACTCTGATAAAAGGTTCTTGTTAGTAATAAAAGACAGAGAGGGGCGCAGTGCCACCATGCACTCCTGTCCCTTCTTGACAATTTGCAGAGCTGCTAGTTGTTGCTGTGCCCTGAAACAACCGCTCTCCGACTATAGGACACAAAAAGTCATTGAACTCTCAGCTTCAGCTGTGACACTGGAAACAATGAATACAAAGCAGCACTTTTTGGCACGCGGTCGTACCTTCTCAGAGAGGTGATGTGCTCGTCAGACAGGCCTCCGTCTTCCTCATTAATAATAAACAGTTTGTCCTTCAGCTCCCCCGGTCGCACAGGGAAACTTTTCAGGAAAATGTCTGGAAGAACAATAGATTAAAACAGTCAGAACACTCAATGGTACATAAAAGCTTCTCCCCTGACAGATAGATCTCGTCTCCTGCGATGAAAATGACTCAAAAAGCATTCCAAAGACAAAGAGTTCAGGGCTTAATTACTTTCTCCCTAACGCCTGAGGGAAATGCACACATTTGCATTCTATCAAGTGAAGCATCGGAGGTTTATATACATGTATATAGTGTCTGCATAATTCAAGAGCAGAGGAAATGTTTATGAGAATTCTTAACTTTAGACATGCAGATACATACTGATGCTACAAAACCAGTTTTTATTGTTTCCACTGAAACAGTTCCACTGTTAGACCAGAGTTGGGGCTAATAGAAACTGCTCAGATCTGACACAGGTGGGCAAAATCTCATCCAACCTAACCCTTCATCTTGACTGGAAACTGAGACACAGACATAAAAAATATGTTACTTTTAAAAGGATTCATGTTTGCTTTTCTCTATAAATGTTTAGCAAACTGGCACAATGCCTACCCCTCCCACCCCCCACCCCACACTGGATACTGACCCCACTACAACGTAAAAAAAAAAATCCTCCACCATGCAAAAACCTTCTGAACATGGTCGGTTGTTGCAAAGTCTTGGCAAGGTCTTCAGGTGTGTAAGAAAACAACGGGCTCATCATTACATACAAAACCTCTGTGTGTGTGTGCTAATTTTGATGTTTTTGTGCGTATTTGTTCAAATCTGTAATATT